CAGGTTGTTGTGTCCGATAGCGAGAATCCCGCGAGAGTTTTGCACCGAAAGACAACTGAAGTCAAGCAGTACCACCCTACTAATGATCAGCTCAGTGATACGAAGGCTAATCAGGAGGAAAACACCACTTCCGCCTCAGTTGAGGATGGACGCAGCAGTCGATTCGGGAAGTTCTGATTTCCAGGGGGGTCCACTAAGGCGTACCACCTGACAGATTGAACCTATAGACACTGAACACTCCAAGAACTATTCACATGGACATAATGCTTGTTTATTTTACGCCAAGGACTCTTATGAACGATTTTCTTTGTGACCGTTTACAGTTTCGTTCTTTGTTTACATTTATGAGGAAAAAAGGATGTAATGACGTAATCGTTCTATATGTCACGTGACCTTGTACAAAGCACATGCTTTTTGGTAGCGCCGTGTGTTCGACACAGTTCTTTGATTAAAACAGTTCTTTTGATTAAATTCGATTCGAAGATGCTACACCCACAATACATATTTTTCTCAGGGGGAGACAAACACAAGAGGAGCAAATAAATACCTTTAGTTAGAAGTATTCCATAGTATGGCTTCCTAAGCTCTCGGAGCTTTGAAGCCAATAATTACTAAGCTGTTGGCTGAAAGCGGATAAACTTTGCTCTTGCAAATTCCTAAAGATTGTTTTTACAATGCTACTTTGCAAAATTTGAAATTATTTCATAGTTACTTTCTTAAAATACTGTATCAATGACTACTTTTAAGTCTCGGCTACTTCATAAACATGCGGCCGCTTTCAGCTTTAGAAATTGATGGCCAAATGATTGAACCATGAACCATGGAGGCTTCTATAAGCAAATGTCTGTAATGGCTAAAATGCTATGGTAAGACTTATTGTTTCTTTCCTTAAAAAACTAGCACAAAACCAGTATGTGACCCTGTATTAATTAGAAGTTGAAATATAATTCCCAGTGATAGCCTTTGAAGGAGAAGTAAATGTAGTTCCTGAGAGATTAGTAGAGGCATTGCTCAGACAAAACACCAAAAAAGATTTTTTTGAAGGGACTGAATTTTACACAACTCAAATATAATCTCTTGGGTGTTAAAAAACTGACTAATGCAACCATAGGCGTACGGGCAATATTTTGCCAGGGGGGCGGTGAACCATTTGCCCAAAAAATTATAGTTCTCGCAAGTTGCCCAAATTTCTACGAAACAGTCGTCATATGATACACTAACATAGACATACATATAAAACAGGTTAAAACAAATAGCTGTCTCTGCTATTTCCACGGCCAAATATATCAGTGATACGATCCATGTCTTTCTCGACTATAGAGTTGGCATGTTCCCTTTCATAAGTGCGATGTTACTAACACGTTGTTGCCCCATGGTGCTGCGGAGGTAAGTTTTCAATCTGCCCAACCCACTGAATAATCATTCTGCAGAACATGATGTAGCAGTTATCACTGCAAGGATATGTACCACACCAGAAAACTCTGGGAACATATCAAATACATCATTCTCATGCATTGTCTGCAAGATTTCTGAAACAGTCATATAGCCTAATCCACGTACACGACGAAAACTCGCGTACATTTTCTGCTCGGCTTCCAGAATCTCACCGTCGATTTTGTAAAATTAAGCAACTCAGGAGAAGCTTTCTTTATCTGGTGTATCACTCTGACAGATATTTCCCAAATCGCAGAGCATTTCCTGGTCATTTTCGCTAAACCTGAGCTCAAGCTTGGACAGCACCTTGTCGATGGACGCATGGTGAGTGTTTATACGATGGTGCGATTCCGGTGTCTGCGTTTATCTTTGCGCGCGTTCACCTACAAGGGTTTGAAGGCGGCAGGAGGGCGTTTGTCTGGGTGCCCTGGTTTCTCGTAATTCACACTGAGAATTGGTCAGCCAATTACTCATTTTCAGACTCATTACTGATGCTAACTGCCATACACTTTTGAAACTTTCTTCACTCCGACACTGGCGTTGGGTCTGAATGGTCAAGTCAGCATTTCTACGAGCGGAGATGACGTCGACCGTACCGTCTTCCCCTGAAGATATCGGCTCAGACTACTAGTCTTGCTTAGGATTACTTTCAGTACACACAGCCCAAAGACAAACTCCAAGTCGCAAATGGCGTTCAATAAGGCTCTGCTCTCAGAGTAGGTGTTTGGATCTTTGTCTGAAGACAGTGTGAGCAGGGCTTTTACAATCCGTTCCATTTGCCCGTGTACGGCCTTTGTGGCTTCCCACCGGTATGACCATCGAGTGGTACTTAATGACTTCAGCGTCAGTTTTAGATCCTCTACTTGTACGTCTGTGTCATTAAACAAGGCGTGTCATTTGGGACTCGCTTCCAAAAAGTTGTACAGAGCCTGGAAAGCTCCCAGAGCGTTTCGCAATGGTTCAATCTGTGTCATAGTATCCTTAAGGGCGAGGTTGAGCACATGTCCGTAACAGTGGACGTAGATACCGAGCGAGGAGCACTCTTCCATTCTTTAAGCCATAAAGGACGTGGTAAAGCCAGTTAAATTCACACGAGACAGTGGTTGCCGAGCAAGTGACTCAGATCTTCTGAGAGTCTCCAGTGGATAATCTACAATATGATTCTAGAAAGTTACGCCGAAATTGACTCTAATTAATTCACGACTGGAAATTCCTCAATGTAACTAGTGCAGTGCAACACAGACTGCACAGTGCCCAACAACAGCCTGTTAATAAGTGCGATGTTACTAACACGTTGTTGCCCCATGGTGCTGCGGAGGTAAGTTTTCAATCTGCCCAACCCACTGAATGATCGTTCTGCAGAACATGATGTAGCAGGTATCACTGCAAGGATATGTACCACACCAGAAAAATCTGGGAACATATCAAATACATCATTCTCATGCATTGTCTGCAACATTTCTGAAACAGTCATATAGCCAAATCCACTTACACGACGAAAACTCGCGTAAATTTTCTGCTCGGCCTCCAGAATCTCTCCGTCGATTTTGTAAAACTTAGCAACTCAGGAGAAGCTTTCTTTATCTGGTGTTTTACTCTGACAGATATTTCCCAAATCGCAGAGCATTTCCTGGTCATTTTCGCTAGACCTGAGCTCAAGCTCGGACAGCACCTTGTTGATGGGATGGGCGCATGGTGAGTGTTTATACGATGGTGCGATTCCGGTGTCTGCGTTTGTCTTTGCGCGTGTTCACCTACAAGGGTTTGAAGGCGGCAAGACGTCGTTTTTCTGGGTACCCTGGTTTCTCGTGATTCAAACTGAGAGTTGGTCAGCTAATTATTCATTTTCAGACCCATTGCTGATGCTAACTGCCATACACTTTTGAAACTTTCTTCACTCCGACACTGGCGTAGGTCTGAATGGTCAAGTCAGCATTTCTACGAGCGGAGATGACGTCGACCGTACCGTCTTCCCCTGAAGATATCGGCTCAGACTACTAGTGTTGCATAGGATTACTTTCAGTACACACAGCCCAAAGACAAACTCCGAGTCGCAAAAGGCGTTCAATAAGGCTCTACTCTCAGAGTAGGGTTTTGGATCTTTGTCTGAAGACAGTGTGAGCAGGGCTTTTACAATCCGTTCCATTTGCCCGTGTACGGTCTTTGTGGCTTCCCACCGGCATGACCATCGCGTGGTACTGAATGACTTCAGCGTCAGTTTTAGATCCTCACCATGTACGTCTGTGTCACTAAACAAGGCGTGTCGTTTGGGACTCGCTTCTAAAAAGTTGTACAGAGCCTGGAAAGTTCCCAGAGCGTTTCGCAATGGTTCAATCTGTGTCATAGTATCCTTAACGGCGAGGTTGAGCACATGTCCGTAACAGTAGACGTAGATACCGAGCGGGGAGCGCTCTTCCATTCTTTAAGCCATAAAGGACTTGGTAAAGCCAGTTAAATTCACACGAGACAGTGGTTGCCGAGCAGGTAACTCAGATCTTCTGAGAGTCTCGAGTGGATAATCTACAATATGATTCTAGAAAGTTACGCCGAAATTGACTCTAATTAATTCACGACTGGAAATTCCTCAATGTAACTAGTGCAGTGCAACACAGACTGCACAGTGCCCAACAACAACAAAATTACAAATATGTATATCAACGTATGATCCCCTTCAAAAATAAGCAGAAAATGATCACGCGCTAGGCAACCAATGTCTCCCGTGAATTTAACTGCCTTTACAACGTAGGCTCGATTACCAGCCGCTGTTCGGGAAAATGAGCCCGCACTCATCCCTCCGAAGGGGAAGATCAAAGACCGGACCCCAGAGACGGTGAAAATCGAGCCTGTTTAAAAAAAAAAGCCTATTTTTAAAAAAAACGCCGAATTCAGGTTGAAACAGAAAATATCTCTTCGAAAAAAAAAATACACAGACACACGCAAGCTTCTTTAAAAACTAGCTTTGCCCAAATTTCTTGTGCTGCCCGAAAAATGAGTTGCCCAAAATCTGGGTGGGCAGCCGCCCCCCCGGTCCGTACGCCTATGAATGCAACGTTCTGAAAAACAACAGTGGGATGGAAGATGAAACAAACTCATAGCTTCATTGCTACACAATTGTTTCAGAACGGTCTGACCGTTCGCTGAATGATTTAAAGTCTTATTTAAATTTGGAAAATGTCCTCATGCTTCCAAACTGAGCTAGGTATAAAATAATAATAATAATAATGATAATGATAATGATAATAATAATAATAACAATAATATAAAAAAAATAATAATATTATATTGATGTCAGAAATATCCAACCAAGCACCCTAAATGTAAACACCAAACTGAAAAAATATTTCTAATGGATTTCAAATGAAATAGTGCTCACCTGAAACCAGAGGAAGAAGAACAACGAGAAAAGCTATCCGGAAACAAAGCTCGAGATTAAATTGCGCCATGTATCGATTCATGTGTCACGGTGTAAAAAATGCGATCACGATTGTTCTCCTTGACCGGCCATTTGTAACAAAACGTTCATTAGACAAAAGATATCTTTGATCCCTCACAATTCAAGCTCATCTTTATATAGTTTGTAGTAATATCGTCCGCGCTTCTAGCAAGACAATCACACTCTGCGTGGGCCGAGTTTTATCTTCCTGTAACAAGATGACAGCCAGAAAAAGACTTTTTAATACTTCCCAGAGTGCCCTGCGCTGTAGCTCATGTCTCAGCACTTTTCAGCTGATTTCAGCCTGGTCTAAGTTAAAATGTAACTACTTTGTTTTAGATGGGCCCCTCGTAGTTCTCTAATGGCAGTCAGGAAAAGGCAAAGGAAATCAAGCCAGCTAAATCATTATAATTGACTTCAAAATTATATCAGTGGCAAATAAAACCGCTCGACTAAAACGTAATCAGAATTCTTTAAACATTATTAATCCCGAATGTTTTAGGGTTTCCGAGTGCAATTGCTTTCTTCATACAAATCCTAAAAATTTTATTGATAAATAATACTAGGGTGAAGAAAAAAAACTGTCTTTGTGCGAAAGCTGCCGAAAAATCTAATTTTCATAGAATTATTTGAAAAGGCTCTCTTCGTACGTACTTTCGAGAAACCCGATCAGAATATTAAATGCTGCAAGGGTAGCAATCATCAGAGAAACTTCACAATGTAGTGCGTCTCTTAATGAATATTTTCATCTCCTACAATTAATGAGTCCGTCTTAACCTTGTCCGTGGATGAATTTTCCAGCTACGCCAGTTTTGTTAATATTCAGACGAAGGTACCGAAACTTTATTTTCATCCAGTTAGTGCGGCCTGGCTTTCTGAAACTCTCACTCATCTAAACATTAGGAAGTCAGCTGGTCCTGACGGAACATCTCTCAAGCTGCTTAAAATTGCCGCTCCAGTCATAGCCGGACCAATGACTAAACTTTTTAATTATTGTATTGGCATAGACGAGTGGTCATGCCAATGGAAACTTAGTAACGTCACCCCAGTTCATAAAAAAGACGACGGAACATCTAAGAGGAATTATCACCCCATTAGTGTCTTGTCAGTTATACCCAAGGTGTTTGAGAGACTAAAATTTGATCAATTATGCAGCGTTTTTACACCAGTCTTTTCGGACAATATGTCGGGGTTCCTTTGTGGGTATTCTTGCTGTTCCGCTTTATTGAGGCTACCTGATGATTGGCACCATGCTCTTGACAATAAAAAGGATGTGGCGGTGGTCGCTGTTGACCTATCCAAAGCGTTTGACTCGATTTGTCATAAATTATTACTTGCAAAACTGAATGTTTACGGCGTTCACAATTCTTCCCTAAAGCTTACTCAGTCATATCTATCGGGCCGCTTTAAACGAGTAGAATGTGACGGGAAGGTGTCAGACTGGCTGCCTCTTCTCTATGGAGTGCCGCAAAGGAGCCCTCTAGGTCCGCTTGTTTTAATATATTTGTGAATGATGTCAATTACTCAGCTGTATCTTCTTCCCTGTATACGTTTCTACGCTAATGACATAACGCTCATGAGAGCATCTGCACATTTTAATGATCTACACTGAATCAAGACATAGAGAAATTACCCTCTGGTTCACCGCAAGTTACCTGCAAGTAAACGCTGCTAAAACTTGGGCAATGACACTGGGGAAATCTCAGCACCCACACAGTCTTTTTATTGGTGACAAGTCCATCGAAATTGAACCACCTCTCGAGATTCTTGGCGTTGCATTGGACCGGAATTTGTCTTTCAAGCCTCACGTTGCAATCTTGCTGAAAAAGGCGTAAGCTAGGGTAGCCGCACTACTGAGGATTAAGCCCTTAGTTCATTCAGACGTTGTGATTTCTCTTTATATAGCCTACGTGTTACCGCATTTAGAATACTAGCTGTTGCCCACTACTTCTGGGCATATCTAAAGCCTTGAAAAAGAACATCGAACCTCTACTAACTATGATCGAACGTACCAATCATAATGTGATCAAGACATTACTGAATCTAGGTAATTCGGCTTCCTATGACTTTTGCCCCCTGAGCAAGTTTTAAACTAGATGGCCCAAATTATATCTCCCAATTTTTTACACCTCGGTTGTCTAAATACAATGAATAAGGCAGTGGCTTGAATGTTCTACAGCCTCCATATAAAAATAACAGCCTTGTCATGCACAACCCCCATTTGTACATGATTGCCCAAATGTGGAATCAGTTACCAGCTGTAACCAAATCCTCGAGCACTTTGGCACAACTTCGTACTCGCCTGAATAATAATAATTTCACAGGGTGCCAGTGCATGAAATGTATATAATTTTATCTATTTTTACATTTTTACATAGTTTTGGGCTAGTTTATTCAAAAATAAATCGATATTTTTTACATTTTAATCAGTTTATAATTCGGATTACTCCATTTTAAACTATTTTTAATACATGTCATTAGATTTTTTAGTTTTTTTTTTCAGAAGCAAATAGTTTCTCAGAAATGTTCACAAAGTTACCAGGTACTTGATAGCTAGGTTTCTTTATACTTGTATATGTATAATTTCCATTTTATCTTCTTTTGTATTTTTAGTTTGTCGAGCGTTTTTAACATCAACCTCTGGCTTGGAGGATTCTGCAAACACATCCCATGCCTTCGACATTAAAGAAAGCATTCTGTATTCAATTCTATTCTATTCTACAGTATGTCATAACCTTCAAACTTGCTTAGACACTACAAAAGAGTTTCTATGCATTAATTATACTGAACAAAAGAGCTTAACTAGTGTTCGTCTGCTGCAGTCCTTACCAAGCAGAGATTAGTAGTAACATAGCTAAGGCTACAGAAAGTCTGGGTCATGCTTTAATCCTCGACTAAATGTAAAGTTGACAGCAAGAACAGAGTGCACTGTTTGGTTACAGGAATCCTGCAATGCCTTGAAGTGTTATTGGTCGAGGTATATTCACGTAACAAATTTAATTTTCTTGTCGATAAAAAGCTCAAGTTAAAGAGTCTTCCGCGTGGCAGGTTTCCCACAGTAGTGCTGATTGCGTTAAGCGCGTATGCAAAGTCCCATAATTAATAAAATAGGATACCTGATCAAACGTAAAAAATTAGGTATGAAGAACATGACGGGATGACAATACTTCCGAACTCGCGGCGGTATTCTGTTCCAAGCTGCATTGCATAACGCAAGGCAAGCAAATGTGTGGTGAATGTTTAAGCAACTGAAGCTCTCCGACAAGCCTGGCTAAAACTGTACATCGAATAAACGCAGTTTTGCCTTTGTCTGGTTTGAAAAAAAGAGATGGACTACAGCGATCAGATACTTCTTTTCGTGAAAACATTTTATTCTACCATGGAGAACTATTCTGTTGCTTCTTTGCATTTAGAACCTATTCATCTTATTACCTTGCAACAATATTTCCCAGCATTTTTTCCTATCTGTAAACGATCTATAATGTAAAAATATCTTGAGGAGTGAAAATACTCTATCATATTCTATTCTCTTATTTACAAACAGCCAACAATAATGTTCTGTAACCTAGCTTTTTTCAGTTGCTTTAAAATAAGAGAGCAAAGCAATACTTTGCTTTTACAGTAAAAAGAAGTTACTGTGCATAAAAAATATGTTGAAAAAACTGCCAACGTCCAATAAACGACTAAAAAATAGAGCCTTTAGTCTTTAAAAGGCAATTTATGAGTGACAGAGATATCACTTTATTAAGCTTTGTTGTTGTTTACAACTGATGGCTCTTATTTTTACTAGTGGTTAAGAACACACCTTAATTTGAATTCAAATTTTTAATTTGTAACACTGACTCTAACGGTACATATGGATTAGTTCACATTGAAAGCTTACTCAGTCATATCTATCGGGCCGCTTTAAACGAGTAAAATGTGACGGGAAGGTGTCAGACTGGTTGCCTCTTCTCTATGGAGTGCCGCAAAGGAGCCTTCTAGGTCCGCTTGTTTTAATATCTTTGTGAATGATGTCAATTACTCAGCTGTATCTTCTTCCCTGTATACGTCTCTACGCTAATCACATAACGCAGTATATAGCTCATGAGAGCCTCTGCACACTTTAATGATCTACACTGAGTCAAGACATAGAGAGATTACCCTCTGGTTCACCCCAAATTACCTGCAAGTAAACGCTGCTAAAACTTGGGCAATGACATTGGGGAAATCTGAGCACCCACACAGTCTTTTTATTGGTGACAAGTCCATCGAAATTGAACCACCTCTCAAGATTCTTGGCGTTACATTGGACCGGAATTTGTCTTGCAAGCCTCACGTTACAATCTTGTTGAGAAAGGCGTATGCTAGGGTAGCCGCACTACTGAGGATTAAGCCCTTAGTTCATTCAAACGTTGTGATTTCTTTTTATATAGTCTACGTGTTACCGCATTTAGAATACTGTTGCCCACTACTTCTGGGCATATCTAAAGCCTTGAAAAAGAACATCGAACCTCTACTAACTATGATCGAACGTACCAATCATAATGTGATCAAGACATTAATGAATCTAGGTAATTCGGCTTCCTATGACTTTTGCCCCCTGAGCAAGTTTTAAACTAGATGGCCGAAATTATATCTCCCAATTTTTTACACCTCGGTTGTCTAAATACAATGAATAAGGCAGTGGCTCAAATGTTGTACAGCCTCCATATAAATATAACAGCCTTGTCATGCACAACACCCATTTGTACATGATTGCCCAAATGTGGAGTCAGTTACCAGCTGTAACCAAATCCTCGAGCACTTTGGCACAATTTCGTACTCGCCTGAATAATGTTAATTTCACAGGGTGCCAGTGCATGAAATGTATATAATTTTATCTATTTTTACATTTTTACATAGTTTTGGGCTAGTTTATTCAAAAATAAATTGATACTTTTTACATTTTAATCAGTTTATAATTCGGATTACTCCATTTTAAACTATTTTTAATACATGTCATTAGATTTTTTAGTTTTTTTTTTCAGAAACAAATAGTTTCTCAGAAATGTTCACAAAATTACGAGGTACTTGATAGCTAGGTTTCTTTATACTTGTATATGTATGATTTCCATTTTATCTTCTTTTGTATTTTTAGCTTGTCGAGCGTTTTTAACATCAAACTCTGGCTTGGAGGATTCTGCAAACACATCCCATGCCTTCGACATTAAAGAAAGCATTCTGTAT